ATTTCAAAAATAATTTCATTCATTTGCGAACAAGTCTTGAAAGTTTCATTAAAATTCGACAATTATTTGATTTTTGCAAGAATTTCCAATTCAATGTGTTTTTACCGGAAAAAAGCGCTAGAACACTAATGGTAAATATTCCTTCGGCCACTGACCCCGAAAAAAAAAGAAAACAAGATGTTCAGCCAAAATTTCAAATGTGCTAGAAAGGATGAAAAAAATATAATAAAATAATAAAAAATACTTTGTTCTTTCCTCTTAAAAAAACATTTTGACGATAAATTATCAAATTTGGACCCGTTTTTCATCATGCTATGCTATTTTTTTTTTTTTTTCAGCGAATTAGTGGAGGTATCTATTTTTATTTATTAATCTGAGAGATTTTACTTAAACGTTATTTTTTACTCGATGCCTATATTTGGGTTGACACTTTATTTATTGAATAATAAAGTAATAAAATAGGCGAACCTTTCTACTCTTATTGAGGAAAAAATGAATAAATATTAAATAAAATTTCAGAGTTCAGGTGGAGACGTTAGAAGTATAGAGTTGAAGTAGACTTTATAAGAAACCGGAATAGATGTTTACACCTGTTAATTCCATCAATGAAAATCATTAGTCTGATGAAGTTCTTTTGAAATACGAAATGCGTTACAAATTACATAGAATTTTTCCCATTTTGACGTCCAATTACCCAACAAAGCTAAACTTGTAAATAAATGTATTTACTGTGTGAGTAAATTAGGATTTTACAATTCTCATTTCTTTTGTAAGGTTTCTTTGCATGTTTGAGACTAAGTTTAAACTCGGTTTTTTTTCCTAGTTTAACCAAGATGTAATTTAAAACGCACTCTTTACAACTTTCCAACAACATTTCATTTGCTTTCAGGTATTTTCTGTGGAATTGGCTCAGAATTCTTGTTAGCCAAGAGAAAGCACCCAAAGGACAAAGTTTCAGAAAGGTTAAGATGATGGCATGCCGACACGGACGAAAAACACGGCCGATCAGGGACGGCAAAAGGAAAAGGAAAAATGGCGGAGCATTAGTCACGTGATTAGGTTTTCTTCACTTTTCCTTCCCAAGGCACCAAAACAAAAGAAAATTGATCGTTCATATTTACTAAGCTTAGCTTAGTCTGGTACAAGGCTACAAGTATGCTGAACGCAGTCAGGGCCGTACTCACTACAGCAGCAAAGATGTTTGACTAGCTTACTGACAACTGTACCACCAATTGCAAAACAAGGACACAACTGTAGAGTACCCGATGAGGATCGAACTTACTATGAATCGGCTAAGAGATCTCGAGACTGTTCTTGGTTTCAGGAAGCGGTCTAGGCGAGATATGTCATCAAAACGACTTTAAATAGAACGTGCGTATAGCGTAGTGAGTATCGGCACGGAAAGTGACAAAAAATTGTCTTTATAAAGTATCTAGAATGTACAGGCCGGAAGACGTAATTCAGATTGTTTAAAATAAAATATAACGAAGCGTCAACTCAAGAATAACGTTTAGAGCAGTGATTTTCAACGGCCATGCGGCAAAATCTTGTCACGGCACACACACACACACACACACACACACACACACACACACACACACACACACACATATATATATATATATATATATATATATATATATATGTGTGTGTGAGTATAAGAAATAAAAAGAACATAAGATATATAATCCGGTGTTCTAGATACTTTTTATTTTACAAAAGAGTGCTCAAAAAATTTACAGAGCATTAAAGCTATAAATTAATTTTAAAATTTTTATTTTTAAATTAAAACCATTTTAAAAATGGAAGTTAAAAGCTTCGAATTTAATCCTCAATTAAATTAAATTAATTCCATTTCATCCTCAAGCAAATTTTGTCCAATGTATGTGTGTGGAAGTAATCAAATTATAAAGCGTTAGTATTTAAATAAATGAATAAGTACAGAGCAATCTCGAACGTCTCACGTGTCGAACAAATCGGTTTTCGAACAGAAAATTCGAGATGAAAATGCTTCGATTATCGAATAAAATTTCGGTTCTCGAAAAACATTGCCGAACCGAGTTAACCCGAACGGAGCAATTTTTGAGTCGACCGCCATGTTGTATACATTCGTGTGTTGTTCCGTGCATTTCCTTTCCAATTTTATTGTGCTGTAACTTTTTGTTGTCAACATTGATTCCTATTGGAAAAATAGTTTCGGTTTACGAACATTTCGGGTTACAGATCTCGAGGCTCTCGGGAACGAATTAAATTCGTGAGCCGAGGTTACACTGTAATTAATTATTCTCACTTTTATCGGTTTTGTTATACTTTGTTTTAATATTCATTTTTTAGAAAGTATTTTTATCTTTTTTAATTTAACGTTTTAAACTTTTCCTTTATTTGAATAAATGAATATAATAATTGTATTCAACATTCTTTGTTTAATTCAAAATTTATGGTTTTATTTCATAACATTTGAATAATGTATACCCTTTATAATTTTTTGTAAGTGTGCCGTGATATTTTTTATTTGCTCCTAGCTGTGCCATATCTTAACAGGTTGATAAATACTGGTTTAGAGTAATATATATATATATATATATATATATATATATATATATATATATATATATATATATATATATAAAAAAAATTCAGATATAAATAAAAATAGATATGAGAAAAGAGAATATGAATAAAGACAAAACAAACGCGCTTCGTCATCTGACATTGTTCTAGATAGTTCAGCAGAGAACGAAACATGTTGGTAAAGAATAATTTCCCTTTGTCGTTTTATATATATATATATATATATATATATATATTATGAATTTTTTTCGTCCTACACATTTTTATAACTTTAAACGTTATCTTTAGTAGATACCCATATTTAAATAGATGTTGCGTTTATTTTAAACAATATTATATTTCATCTACCAGCCTGATTATTCAAAAATTCTTATTAAAGAAAAATGTAACCTCCTGTTGGATTCGAACTTGCAAAAAATTCTCCTGTAAAAGGGAACGCAGTTTCGGATCCTGTTGGATGTTCCATATTTCGTTAATAACATTTCTCGAAAATTCAGGCCAGTAGACGAAATATAATGCTGTTTAAAATATACGAAACGTCTACTCGAATATTGATATCCACTAAAAATTAGTTTAAAGTGATATATACATGTATAAGCCTGTCGCCTCTGAGTGTTGACTTCAATGTTCACTTTTATATTTATATTTACATACGCTCTATCTCTGATATTGATCATTATAAATATAGTAGCACATTTAAAACTATATTTCTGTATATATATATATATATATATATATATATATATATATATATATATATTTATATTGATATTTATATTTTTTTTTGTTAAAATTGTTAAAATGTTAAAAAAAAAAAAAAAAACAAATGAAAACTACAGACAAAAGTTCATTTTCTCCAGCAAGACATTCATTTCTGTAGTTTACTGCTACCAGCAAGCAGAAATATTTCTCCTCCCGATGATGGCCATTTCGGCCGAAACTAGTCGAGAAATCTAAATGGAATAATAATAAAAAACGAAAGAATATTAATCTACAACCCAGTGTGTCTAAAGATTTCAATTTTTAATATTTATTTTTTATTGTTTTAATATTTATATTATATATATATATATATATATATATATATATATATATATATATATATTAGTGGATATTCGTATTTGAGTAGACGCCCTTTAATTTTTTTTTTAACAATATATTTATTTATGTTCGTTTGCCAAATTGAATATCCGTGAAATTTTATTAATGAAAAATATCCGCTGCTTGGTAGGATTCGAATCTGCGCCCATGCTGGGAAGAGAGAAATTTCATCAAATCCGACGTACTGGAACTGACTGACCTACTGTGAACTTAATGCTGAATAGTTACTCTTGTCAGTTTTTTTTTAATATTTTTCTTTAATATGATTTGTTATATACCGTAGCTATGAACACTAATGTGTATGTCCCAATCCTCGTAAATACATTGAACACTATTGTAAGTGGGTGTAATACGCTGTCTAAGTATCCACCATTAGCAGTGGTTCACCTACTTCACGCCGCTGGCGGGTATTGTATTTTGTTGATGTCATAAAGATTACCATTTCATTTCAGACTTCCGTTTTGGTTATTCTCCATTCAGTAACCCTTTCTAGGTTACAACAGAAGGACTGATATTACATATCAGTTAAGTAGTCTTTTCTTTGTATTCTCAGCATCCTTTTGTAGAATCACATCTCTGTTGCCTCAAGTGTCAACAAAAATTGCAATATGAGCGCTGGTAAAAAAAAAATGCAATGATAACAGCAAAAACTGCAATATGAGCATTGGTAAAAATGGTTGCTGAAGTCATTAGGTTTATAATACCCAGAAATTCATACACAGATATCTTCAAGGACACATGGCACAATGTATAAAGGGGTTAGTTAGATCCAGTGGCAGAACCCAAAGAGTGTGAGTTCAATACCTGGTTAAGGCGGTGGAAAACTTTGAGAGGGGAATTAACAGGAGATAACTGACATCCATTAGACATGGCACGTGGAACTAGAACAGTCTACCCCAGTGAGCGAAATAAAGGGTTCAGTTCGACATTCCAACCACCTAGAAAGGTCGGAGCGTACATGATGAGGACAATAGTCCGAATAATGTAAATAGTGTACCTCATCTTAGAAATATAGACTGGTTCATTTTACCTCAAGATTCTTGACAAAATTGAAATTGAAATTGAAATATTCACGAAAACAGACGAAAAAAATGTCGTCCCACAATGGAAAAGGAAGATAATTAAAAGACAATAAACGCAAGAATTAGCGACTGCGCGAATAATTGTTAAATGCTTTTTTTTTAACTTCCAACAGAGTTAGCGATATTTCTCTTCAACAGAAATTGATAAATCTATTCTACCCACATATCTCTTTGTAGTTGTCAGCATCCTGCCCTACCAGCTGGTACAGTAACAACCCCCTCCTTCAATTCCAAGAGAGTCCGATTTACGGCCACATCACGTTGAAACACCGGTTCCCGTACGATCACTGAAGTTAAGCAACGTCGAGCCTGGTCAGTATCTAAAAGGGTAGTCGCTTAGGAATACCAGGTTTGGTTTGTTTTATGGCATATCAACCTCAATGGGTTATTTAATGCCGACAAATTTTATTGGTGGTAATTTTTTTCAAAAATGTAATATTTTTTTCCCTCAAAAAATCTATTTCTGGTAATATTTTTTTTCAAAAGTGTATTGCTGGTAATAATTTTTTTACAAAGTATTTCTGGTATTTAAACCTACTTTTACGCTTTCATAGTGTTTCGACCCCAGTTTTGGGGTCAACTATTTGGCCATATCTGGGACCCTAATACGTACAACCACTCCGGATCAGGGCGGACCTGGGAACACCAGCAATTAAGAGGTGGTTCCACGCTCCACAAAACCTTTTGATCAGAAGCCTTGCTGTTGAAAGTTGTTTATCGTCCTACCCAGGACGCAGATGTAGTTTATCGCCATACCCAGGATGGAGGAATACCAGGTATTCTGCCTCCATTCATCTTCCTACAGAGCCTCAGACTCAACACGGAGGCCTGCATCAAGTGTCTTGAGGAGGTAGTGCTGCCCTTGGTCAAGATGGTGGCTGCTGGAAGACCCTGTATCAGACAACAGGACTCTGCACCATGCCACACAATCAGGAGAACCCAGTCATGTCTATCAGACAATTTCTGCAACCACATCATCCTTTACATCTGGCTACCTAACTCCCCATACTGCATCTTCCTTGATTATTATATGTGGGGCGCAGTTGAACGCGAGAACAACAAAATTACTTGTAACCCCAAAGATGAACTCAAGGCAACAATTATGGCAGCATTCACCAACTTAAACAAGGAGACCGTCCAGAAGAGATGCAGGAGATTCCGAAGTCGTCTGGAGGCCGTGGTTGACGCCAATGGCGATTCTATTGAATAAATCTACTCTTTAGTATTTCAATACGTTTTTGTGAACTTTTGGTAAATATCCAGTGTTATTTTCATTTTTGCATAATTTAGACGACAATTTATCCATCGCCGCCTTTGTGTCCTCCACATGTTTTGACTGATGAATATTTATGAATGTTCTCAAATTTAAAAGCCTTGATAAACCAATTTGAAATTTTATTCAGTAATTATTATTTTCCTCTAACAATGGGAGTAGATAGGTTTGCCTATCGCCCGATTCACACTCATTCCCGGTCTTTTGAACAAGAGTAGAGGTTTATCCCTTGTTCCCTGTTTAGGATTGGGTTTCCACTTCCTTGTAAAGTCTACTTCAACTCCATACTTCTAAGGTCTCCGACTGAAATCTGAAATTTTATTCACTATTTAAATCTTGACCTCTTCAAGTCTAGAATTAACTGTTATTTTTTCTGCATAGCCTCAAGAACTTCAATTCTTACTCTTTCTTCTGCTGATACAATTTCACATAATAAATGTTGTGGCCTGTTAGAAGCCAGAAAGAAGAAGAACAAGGAAAGCAAAAGGTAGGTTGAACAAGTGTATTGAAATAATAGATATATACAAACTAAGAATTTGCAAGTACGATATTCAATCTTACTTATTATAAAACGCAGATTGTGTGTGTGTGTGTGTGTGTGTGTGTGTGTGTGTGTGTACGTTTATATATTGGATCGGATTTCCTACATTTTTCAACTGATTCCAACAAAACTTCACAGGACTGCGTAAAATTACCTTGCGGTGGTTCTGACAGCGCTAAAAATTGGGAAAAACACAATTGTTTTTGCATGAAATCAATTTGAAAACACGATAAAACACGATTCTGTCGCCAGAATGAAAGGGGACAACTTATATCGAGTTATACTTATACCCAGGTATGTGTGTGTGGTTGTGTGTGTGTGTGTGTGTGTGTGTGTTGTGTGTGTGTGTGTGTTCGTTTATATATGGGATCGGATTTCCTACATTTTTCAACCGATTTCAACAAAACTTCATTTTTTTTTTTGGCAGGTAGTGTTTCTTATTGTCTTGCACGCTTTTTTTCTTTTTTTTTACATTCAGAATGATTTAAAAATTCCATTTACAAGACAATTGTTTATAATAAAATTCTATTCAATCGATAGACTCATAATGATTGAAAACAATGTTTTTGTTTGAGTTTGGGTTTGACCAATTCGTAAAAAAAAAAAACGTGTCCGTCAACCTTAAAAACTAATCTTTGTCAATTTTATTTTTCAGTCTTTATGATGGTCGATACTTGATCTATCTCTTACTGTTACATCCCCGGGCAACGCCGGGCTCTACTGCTAGTCGACAATAATAGCAAATTCTCTCAAATATTCTCTCAAATATTCTCTCATATTTTTTTGTAGTTGGACCTTTTAACATTCTACCAGGAGATACACGTGTTTCTTATACAACGACACGCAAACACACTCGGCCCTCTACATACTAAACAAAATCAACCAACCAACCTCACTAAAGTCTCCCCCCTCCCAGTAATCCCTTGCGTCTTAGTGGCTTTATTGCTTTACTTATAGAGAAAAGATTTAACACAATAGTTGGTAGAGATGAGCTTGTTGACTACTCATGGATTGCCATCCAATGTATAAAGCAACCTGCGAAGCAAATTTTTGGGAAGAAAAAAAAAAGATTTGCCAATTGTGAACCTTTATTGAAAGAACATTAAAAAATGAATCGTCTATTTTACTTAACGGCTAACAAAACTTTCTCTTGTGATACGAATAGCCAACAAGTTCACAACAAAGGCTTTCACAATACCCAAGACTTGATCTAAGAAGAAAAAAGCTCATTTTGTCCGAATTCGACGACACACATCTCGTTACCTTCGTGTCTCTGTGAATGGAGGCGTGTGAAGCGACTGTTTATTTGTAATGTACACGTAGATAACCGAACAATTTTGCACGTATCTAAACACAAATGAAAATATAACGGCGCACATATCATTTAATCTAAGAAAACAAAATGTAAAAATTTAGCTTGAACCAGTCGGGAGGGAGAGGGTGGCTTATAAACGCGCTTATGTGTGTATGTGTAAATATTTACGCAGATTCCTATGTCTATGTATGTGGGTTCACCTTCCTGTGCAAATGCGCATGTGCCCGCTGAAAGAAAAAAAAACGTAGTGTGGGGGGTGCCTATCTACTAAAAGCAGGCCCCCACAACGTGAAACAGCATTGAAACCAGCACACACATCACGACACTAATTCGTGCGAAGAATACAATAAAGGCTTCTCGCTCTCTGAAATGCCAATTAGAGTGAGAATTAAAATGACTAAAACGGTATCAGATGTCCCCGTGTTGTACATCTCTAAATATGCGTGACGTGATATTTTAGTGACATTTCCGAATGAATCAAGGATGAAATAGTGAAGGAGTTGAGAGAATGGCTGAAGTAAAAAAAAAGAAAAAAGATTCAAGTTATAAATCTGAGAGACAATGTAAAAAAATGTGCTGTAAAGATTTCTAAGAGACACGTTTATTTAACCGTAAATGAAATTGAAATAAATTTTTAAAAAAATATAGTGAGTTTAATGTTAGCTGTCGGTATCACCCAGACCTGAAAAAAAAAAATGAAAAAAAAAAACGCTTCAAGTTATAAATCTGAGACAATGTAAAAAAAATGTCCTGTAAAGATTTCTAAGAGACACGTTTAACCGTAAATGAAATTGAAATAAAATTAAAAAAATATATATATATATAGTGAGTTTAATGTTAGTTGTCGGTATCTCCCAGACCTGAAAAAAAAAGCGTTTCAAACGATGATCTTGGTCAATTTTACTAAGAAAGGGTTAGCTAAGGTGGGTTTCGTTATTTTTCTTCAACTGACAGTCAAGGCTGACGGGTCGATCAAAATGTCACATTTTAGCACTGAAGTCTGTGAATGTCGTGCTGTGATGTGATTACCGTCATCTTATCAGTTTACGAGCAATTGTATTCAAAAGTATTTATGTTTTTTTCTCTGTCGCTTTTCCTGTGTATACCGATGTCAACGCCAGTACAATGGTGCTTTAGCAAAATCAAAATGAAAACAGAAAGCAGTACACAACGAATAAGTCACGTACTCTGTGCAGGATTGATATCCAAACTCCTAATGATATATATTAAGGACTACTCTAAGGTAAATAAGTATTTTTGCTCCTGCCAAATAGATTTAACATCTGAAGGGGGTTTTAAAACTGATAATGTTCACCTAGTTTTCACTTCTGTTTCCTCTCACTTTGGAAGAAAAAAAAACAAAAAAAAAAAAACTTATTTATCGATAGCAGCGACAATTATCACTTTATACACTGTATTTTTCTGAATATAATACGCAGCGGTCTTTAAAGAGCAGACTTATTTTAAAAACAAATTAGAAAAAAAACAAACTACAGTTGTATTTAAAAGAATGTTTACTGAACAAAAATACAATCTGATTCTTTAAAAATATACTCTAATAATTACCGTTGGGTATTTATTTATATGTTTCGTGGAAACATAGAGGAAAAGAAGATAAATCAAGTTAAGACAGTAAACATATGAGCGGTTACGCCCCTTAGCCATTTTAATAATCTATCAGTCAGCCAGTTATGTGCCATGCGTGATACACGTTTAAGCAATCATGTATCTTTCGATACATAACTGACGAGGCAGATTTTCCCGCAGTAGGTTGCCATTTCTGCAGTAGACCAGTTGCTATTCATGGCTATAGAACCCGGTCTGTCCTGCTATTTACCCATAGCTTAGAAGAAAAGGATTCATATCCTTTCCATGGGTATTAGCACGTAATTAAATGTAATGGATTCGACTGGAATTCGAACTCGGTTCCTCAATCCGAGCCGCTATCCATTACTCCACCGCAATAATCTATACAAATAATATATTTATCTTTATTTAGACTAAATTAATCTCCAAGCAAAAGAGCCATTCAATTAATCTGTTCGCTTACTGATACGTTTCTTACTTATTCAAGCCTTTCTTGCCAGGCATTCGGGTACTTTTTGTCTGTTAACTAATTGGCTTGCTTTGTCTCGAGGCTTCGTTGTTTCCATTTTTGTCGTTTCGTTTCGAGATGTTTTTATTTCGAGTCACTGTTATGTTGGAAACAAAATATTGGAAAC